AACTATGCACACACGTTTTCAAGCATTCTGTACTGGTAAGACAAGAAGGTTGCCACTGCCGTCGGTTTGCTTCCATGTCCTTTACTGTCTACAGCCATCTAGTTAAGGGGGTTTTGGACCCCAACGCGGAAGACGAGAGACCACTCTTCCTAATCGCTCTGTGCATTTCTCCATGTTTCGTCTCCACGTTATCTACTCACCTCCACGCGACTCACGAATATGCAGCTGCTACTGCAAATAAGGCACAGTGCGGTAGACGACCGTTAGACTTACACAAAAACGTGTCCTACCCAACGCAAAATATTGAGCTGAATTCCCAAACACCCGACGACGTACTTCTAGGTTGCTAACCCGCTCAATTCATCCAACGTGGAGCAAACTGCGTAACCATCAGTTGTCGAAAACCAGTTTTTCAGTTCACTTTTTTACAACCATTACCGGTACACGTTCTTGTGACGGTTTTGGTTGCTGTCTTTTGGTGATCCATTTCGATAAGAGAACAGAATAAAGACTGAAACGTTAGGAACAAGGTAAGAATAAAGATTGCGCTTAGACTGAGGTTGCAAGAATAAAGAGTGAGTTCACGAGCGCCTTTGTTTACGACATTCAGCCATATCACTCAGTGTCTCCAACCACTGGTTACCGTCATCTCGAGGTCCCCATCCAGGGAGTCTAACGGGACCTATGTGACAGAGACTCCTTGTTAGGGTTTTCTTACCCTCGTACCAGGTCTTAGCTTGAGCACCCTTGGCTCCAATCCACCCACTACTTGCCTCAGTGAACATCGCTCGCCGTGGCAGCTTATTTGGTGAAATGCGCAACACATACCCCAAACAAAGTAAGCTATGGAGGTTGACCAATTCCTGCAGTGGACGACTGTGAATACTTAAAACTCTGCGCCTAAACAACATTGCTTGTCCGGCTGCCCCACCGGATTCGTGCAATACATCGTAGACAGTGGTGTTCGAACACCGACAATCTAATTTTATCATGTTCCCATAGTGGGCAAGACTGCACCGTAGAGCAGCACTAGCCGAAGTGCTGCAGCATATACTCAACCTTTCAAAGACAGCCGGATATCGCGACAGCGCCACAGATGTCTCAAGTTGGCAAATGGCAACCGAGCCTTCTGTATGCATGCCGACACTTCAACTTTGATGCTCCCAGATAACAAAATTTCTCCACTTGATCTATTACTTCCCCAATTAAGCTGAAACTGGGTGCTGAACCAACCTGGTCTTGTAGCAACATCTTCCTCTTTGAAGACTGCCGCTCCTAATGGTCAACACCCGTGGACACGGACCATGCTCTGGTTCAAGCCAGATTCTCCCTACATCTGGTAAACAACCGCCGAAAAGCCACCGAAAACGGATGCCCACAATACAGCAATGGTTGAAAATCGGCCTTCGAAGCGGAACTATCAGATCGCCTCTGAGCTCAACCATCTGCGAGAGGACTCAGTGAACACTGAACGACAATCAAAGTAGTGTTCCAAGTGTCGATCAAAACAACGGAAGATTCTGGAACGCGATCAGATGAAAAACGATAGATCTCCCCGACCTCGTTTGTTTTGCCGGACGCTCGTAAAACAAGTCCCTCCAATTCAAAATACGACAAAGCGTGCAAATGCCTTAAACGCCAGCTCACCAAGAGTCTGAGAAATGACCGCGAGAGGTGCTGGGTAGGAAAGTGTAGAGAGATGGAAAAGGCCGCGGTTATCGGTAATAGTCGTATTCTTCTTCGAATAATTAGGGGCACAGGTCCAAGGAAAGCAGGCGTAAGTGTTGGTAATTAAGGAGTCCAACGGCACACTGATTCATATGAGGTAACACCGCCTAGATCGATTTATAGAACATTTTAGGTCCAAGTTCAACTGGCCCTCGTCAGCGCAAGACCATCCTATATCCGCTTCAACGGAGTACATACTGTCATTTGACATCAATCATCCATCTGAAATGGAGGTTGCCCGAGAAATAAGCTATCTCAATTGGTGCAAGGCTTTCGTCCCCGACGGACTGTCCGCGTCGGCTTTTAAGGATTAAGGTTCAGCAGTTAAAACCTCCTGGGGTCAGTGGGGGGAGAGGAGATTCTAACTGATTGATGTGAATCGGTGGTCATACGGATTCACAAGAAGGGCGACAGGTCCTCTGGTGAAAACCTCAGAGGAATTAGTTTAATCAACATCGTCTCTAAACCTTTCGCCGGGATCATACTCCGTCGATTGTCTGCCGCACGTGAAGGGTGCATACGTCAGAACCAGGCTGGTTTTAGCCTTGGTCGAGGCTCTATTGACCATTTCTTCAGTCGTCGTCAAATCATAGAACACAGACACTCCTTTCATGGAACCACCATCTCTGTTTTCCTTGATCTGAGAGCTGCTTTCAACTCAGTCGACCGCTCTAAGCTCCGGTGCTGCCTCGCTCTAGAGGCTCTGCCCGAGAATTTTATTTCAATATTACAATCCGTTTATACTAATAGCCGAAGTCGAATCCGAGCTTACGGCACTTTTTCGTCCGAGTTCACCACGGAAAGTGGTGTTCTTCAGGGTTGCCCTCCCTCTCTCTCCTTTTCTATTTAACTTCGTTTTAGATTTTATTATCGAAACACCTTGTGCTAGAACAGCTCTATCGATTTATTTCGAGGTTGCAGACTGTCTGATCTAAAATAAGCAGAAGACATTGTGCTATTAAGCGAAGTTTCAAGTAATTTACAAACATTTCTGAATAGTTTCAGTGCTAATGTTCGGTATTCGTTTTACCCCTTCAAAGTGCAAAGATTGGGTTGGTTCAACCCCCAACCTCAGTAATACAAGAAGTAGACAAATTTTGCTACCTGGGTAACTATATCTCACTTGGTGGACGCATCACAGATGAAGTGTCGGCATGCATACAGAAGGCTCGGTTGCCAATGCCAACCTGAAATATCTGTGGCACCGTCGCGATATCCGGCTGTCTTTGAAAGGTTGAGTATATGCTGCAGCACTTCGGCTAGTGCTGCTCTACGGTGCAGTCTTGCCCACTATGGGAACATGATAAAATTAGATTGTCGGTGTTCGAACACCACTGTCTACGATGCGTTGCACGAGTTTGGTGGAGTAACCGATCGACCAACACTGAGGTTGGGCGTAGAGTTTTGGGTTATCGTGGTCGTCCACTGAAGCAAGTAGTCGATCGTCATAGATTACGCTGGTTGAGGCATGTGCTACGTATGCTATCAGATTGGTTGCCGAGGCGGGTAGCCGTTGGGAAAATTCCAAGGGTGGTCAACCTAAGACCTGGCTTGAGGGTATGAAACCACTAATCAGGAGACTATTTCACATAGGTCTCGTTAAGATTCTCGGTCTAGGGACCTGGAGATCATAATCCCCGATAGTTAAATACACTGAGCGATATGGCTGGATGTTGCGAGCAGTAGCGCTAATGCATCTACTCATTATTTTTGTAACTTCAGTCTATGTAAATGCGCTATTATCCGCTTGAATCTGTTGTCAACATTCTAATTTTCATTCTGCCTTTTTATCCAAATGTGCAACCAAAAGTCAGCAACCAAAGCCGGTGCATGAAAGTGTATGGTTAATGATTGTAAAAGATAAACTGAACTAAACAAATATCTCACTAAAATATCCGGCGACTACTACGCCGTCCGTTGATCGAATATTTGAGAGTAATTGAGAAAGATCCTTGTAGACTTCATCTTTGGTTTCAGGTGTACTGCAATCGATCGGTGGATACACCGATATCACGAATAAGCATTGGTGCTTCTTTCTGTATCAGTTGAACCATCCAGACGCACACTGCAAAGTCGGCTCCTAACTGGGATTCAGTCGAGAAGTGAACGCTCGGCCTTGACACTTAGCG